AATGAACAGGAAAAAGTAAAAGAAGATTGTTTGTTATTGCAGATTATGTTGACGACATCCTGGAGCTGATCTTCGAAGAGGTGTTTCCAGACCCAGACCCAGGAGATGCCACAGATCACCAGTCCACCGCCACTGTCCACTCAAACACCAACGTTCAGACAGGCAACTGTTGTCTCTGCTTTTACATCTGCTTTAATCCATCACCAGTCTAAAGCCCACATACTGCCCCTGTTCATCTGGGAACTCTTGGCGTATTTGGAGGACAACACAATATGGCAAAACCGTGTGAACTCTTCCACACAGCCATCCCCAGCACCATGACACCAAACATCTGTAGGCACAGCGCCTATAACAACTGAAGCACATATAGAACTGATTAGACAGCGTGGAATAATTATTCATTTATTCTGTCTCTTTATGTTTGTGCTTTTGCAGTTGTTTCTTGGGTGTGCAGAAATCAAAACGAAGTTATTCAGTATACAGTAACTTATTTTATTCTGTTTATTTGTTTGTGTATTTAGTTATTTCTTTGTAGGGTTGTGTTTGCAGACTAAAGTAAATATATATTGTATATAGATTTACACAGTGTACAATACTTATAGTTACTCTATTTGTGTTTTTTAAAGTTTTTATTGGGTGTGGTTGTAGAGAGCCTAAAGTAAAAAAGAAGTTATATGGTGTTCACAAGACTTATTGTGAAATATTTTTGTATTTCTGTGTTTGCAATCTCTGTAAAGTACTTGGGTATTTATTGATGCAATGTGCATTACCATATGTTTTAGTTGATTCTACTTTCATTATAACGTCTAGCGCAGGGGTCGGCAACCCGCGGCTCTGGAGCTGCATGCGGCTCTTTAGCACTCCCCTAGTGGCTCCCCAAAAATGAGTGAAAATGGAAAAGGAATGATTTTTTTTGGTTGTTGTTTTAATCTGGTTTGTTTAGGGGTAAAACCCTCGTTCATCTCTTCTGTTCTGTAGTGAACTACAACAATGTCTGCCAGGGGTGTTGCGCAGGTAAAGCAACACTCCCAGCTGCAGGGAGGGGGAGGAGTGTGAAGGACTTTATTTGCATTTAAGGAGACAGTACAAAACAAGTCATGGGCAGAGAGCTCTGAGAAAGACCAGGAGAATGGACTCTCAAATTAAGAAACAAACATTAAGACTATAGGATCTATTTTATACATTTATTATATACCATACATACATGTTTTGGTATTTCATAAAAGCATAATATTTGTTTTTTGTGGGTGTCTTCTTTTCATAATTTAATGTTACATTATTTAAATTAATTATTATTAGTTAATTATTATTTTGTATATGTGTACTCAATTTTTACTCTTCACTACATTTACATAATGATTTGAGCACATCAGACTAAACTTAATAAAAATGTTTGAAAAAAAAGTTTTTTTTTTTTTTGTTTGTTTGTTTTTCTTTCTACAAATTATACTAGGCATCAAGTGCACAATATTTTCTATTTTCTTTCTGTGAGGCCTACAGAGAGGAGAATTCAGAATCTGGTTTAGAGGTGGACAGCTGATATTACAGTGTACTCTCTACCTCCATTTGCTCTCTCTCCCTCTGAGCCACTGTCCAGCCTGCCCCTCAGTCCACTCTCCTGTCCACTGTCTAGTCTGGATTAAATAGCCAGTCTTCACAGCAAGCTGTAAATGAAACTCTCACGAAGCACAATAATGATTGCTGTCAGTAGTTCTTGATGGCTAATGTTTATACTTCAGTCGTGGATGAGCACAGTACGTATGCCTGGAATGGATCATGTTGACCAGCTTGCAGAGTATTTGGTGGAGCTAAGAAATTTGAAAGGCCTAACTCTTACCAACCAGTAAGTTAGCACCATTGTGGGTCTGTGGCAGAACCTGGAACAACATGATAAGAACAGAATTGTATAGACTGCACGACATCAGGACAGACTGTTCACTGGGCACTTTAGGTCCCCCAAAAAGAAGGCTGTTTATGCAGGAGTTAACAGTACAAAAAGGTGTGTACTTGGTTCGACTGGATCTGCAGCTCAGTGGCCAAACTGCAGCCGCCTAGTTGAAACTATATTTATTCGACTATGTAACTTTCATAACAGCCCCCAAAAAACGGGACACCAAACCTCATCAAGATGGTCACTAATTCTACATGGTTCGACAGCTCATATTGAACAACGGCATTATCATGAAAGACACCACCCTACAGCTCGTTACTGTAAATCAAACCACCTTAATACAGTGGCATAATGACCGAGTTAAGGCAAAAGATGTTGCCATTCTGCTGCAAGGGTTTGGCTGGCATTGCCTGATGAACGGCCCCTTGCCACCGGACCATTTCTCCCCATCAATCCCATCAACAAATCAGTTGGTTCAGGTCCAGTCTCTGGACTCTGGTCTGGGCTCTCTGGACTTGGGTGTGGTCTCTAGACTGGTCTTGGGTCTGGTCTCTGGACTGGTCTCTGGTCTGTTCTCTGGTCTGGATTCTGGTCTGGTCTCTATTATGGTCTCTAGTCTGGTCGGTTTCTGTTTTCTGGTCTGACCTCTGGTCTGTTGTGTCAGTCTTGTCCACATGGGGGCAGTAGTAACACATGTCATATATTTCAACATGTTTCAAAAGTTTCTCCAAAACACAAAACCTTGAACCTGAACAGAAGAAATTCCAGGTGTGAAACTGGTGAACACGGTGTGTGTGTGTTTGGGTTGTGCAGGTGTGAGTGTGTCCATAGAACCTCCACAGTCGAGCTTTGACCCAGCACACATCAAGAGGCCTGGAATAGACTCGATACTCAATACCGATTCTGATCCCACGATGATGATAAAAGAACTCTTTATTTAGACAAAAGAATGTGATTTTCCACATTAAATATGAGGACTTTCTTTTATATGACCATGTGCTTTTATAAGTCACTTTTTCAAGGTATTTTTGAGACAGATTAACAAATGTCACTGAAAACATGCAAGACAAATGAGTTGAATTGAAATGCCATACTGTGGAACTTTCCAGGCAAAGCAATAACATCTCCATGGAGACAAGCAGGTGATGAACCCTCCAGCTGAAAATCTACATAGTGCACCTTTACATGACATGATCCTATTTTTGAAGCTGTTGCATCATCTTTTTGTTGTGATTGTAAAAGAACAATGGAAATCATGGATTGAAAACAGTAGTAATGATGAGACTAAAATGTGACACTGTGACCTCCCTTTTCCCTGTTTCAAACAAGACAAAAACTGTGAGAGAAACCTGAGTCCTTAAAGAGGGAGTATTATTCCACTTCTCTGGAGGATGAACTGCAAACTCACAACACATTTACATCACCATGTTTCCTTTGATTGTTTTAAAAAATGCTATATTTGCTGAAAACAACATAAAACATGTTTAATTTTTTTTTTGTTTTTTTTGTTTTTGCTGCTCTGAGTCTTCTTGCCATTTGACCCCTGTCACTAAGTCACTCCCCCTTCAGAGCGCTACCACTTTACAGTTGGTGTGAATTCGGCCCCAGAGAGATCACTGGATTCCTCAGACATACATGGATGACATATAAGACCACGTTTTTGTCACATGGTGTGGATGTTATTGCTAAAAGTGTCACTGAGACACATCACATTTTTGATAAGGGAACAGTGAGTGTGTATACATGCACATCAGTATCTTGGTTAGGATGGGATTTTTTATATATATCCCAGTTCATCATGGTGCATGTATAAGCAGTATCCTCGTTTCAGTATTTCGAATAAGCCAGTATCACGGTTATTAGAAACCTGGACACTGTAGCTGGTTTATTCCGATAGTAACCGGGATACTGTGGCATGTAAACACAGTATCCTGGTTACTGCAACATAAAGTGGAGTGCGCATGTGTCAAACACTTTCCAGTCTTTTCACCACAATGGTAACCAACATAAATAAAGTGACCAACATAAATAAAATGACCATACATGAGTGAAATGACTGTAAAATGAAGAGCTGCAGTAAACCTGCACACGTACAATCTGCACTCATATGACCTGCAAAGTTAAAACACGAACCACCTCCACATATTCCACTGAGTCATGTCCTTTAGTCCAACAGAAGCTGAACCACATCAGGCACAAGGAGCGAGCTGTTTGTCTTTTTTTCAGCACTTATAGTTTATGCAAATGATCCATGTGGTCTTAAGTTTCATTTTTGTAAAATGTAAACAAATGTGCAAAGCTGCATTAAACTAGCCAGGCTGGTGCCACCTAGTGCCTCCGCTCAATTTCATTTCTCCTCCAGCGACTAGGTCAGGCATCAGAAAAAAGTAGCTGGTTTTCAAGAACCCCGGAAGTGCGAGTTTGAGTACCGGCAGTCAGCGAAGAGTCATACATTCTGTGTTGGCAACGATTCCCGAGATCGAGGATTTAAAGCTGGAACAAAGAGAATGTTTGGTGAATTTTATCAAAGGGAAAGACGTTATTGTCCTTCTTCCTACGGGATTTGAGAAAAGCTTAATATACCAGTTAGTGGTGCATCACATATGTCACGGCCATAGCATCGATTAGTTAAATAAAAACAAGTACCCGCCTACTGTCGAGTGAACAAATTTTAACACTGTGAGGTCAGACGGTTTCCACAAAGTGAAACCAGCTGATGAATCAGGCTAGCATTAAAACACATTCTGATCTCAAACAGGCTGATGTGGCCCTATAGTGGTTATGGTTTATATGTTGTGAAGTTGAGTTTATTTTTGCAGAAGATTTGAATTAATAATCTGCTGCAGGGCAGAACTTGTCCAATATTTTTTGCAAACATTGCTTTGATCTGTGCAGTGGATTGTGGGATACCTCATAGCTCCTTACTGCTGGTTAGGAACCTCCCGAACTTCCTGTGCTAGAGGAGCTCATTGTTGTTTGCATTTTTCCTGGTTTATTAAATATATAATTTTTGTGCTTGCACATTTGTAAGATTATCTAAAAAAAACCATGATACTCCATTTAATCATGTACACAGGGATATATATCCCTCCTCTTTACATTTCAGTATTTATACATTTACAGTGACGTCCTTTGGTAAAATCTGTAGGGGGATGTTGTTGTATGGAATTAAAACTGGAATCAGTCCATGAGTGAAAGTCTCTGTGAATGTGAATTTGCTCAGGTCAGTGTTTGTGTCGGGGTCACTAAAGGTCAATCTTCTTCTGTCAAAGTCCAGCTTCACTCTGAGTCTCTGCAGACTCCTCCTCACAGAGAGTGATTTCACTGTGTCTGGGGGAGAACAGGCTGAGTATTTACCATCACTGAAAAGTATACCCCAACCTCCAGGCTCAGTCTTTCCCCGAGTCTGAACATGTCCACTTACACCGACACCCCATTTGTTATGGTCTCTGACCAGCACATCCCAGCTGTGAGTCCCTGATCTAAACACTTCAGATCCTTCTACAATGTGATCTTTACGTCTCTCTGGATTCTGTGGAAGCCTCCGTCTCTGTCCACTCTGCACTGAGCTCAGATCTTCAGACAGGATGAGTTCAGATTCTGCAATGTTTGGATCCAGAATGACAGGGTAGAACTTCACCAGTCTCTTCATGTTCCTCCAGATGTTGAAGTCTAGGTTGCCCAGATGTTTGGCCTGGTCGATCAAAGCTCCAGGTTCCATCTGTGGTTCCTCCACCAGGGGGCAGCGCTGCACTCTCTCCACTGTAGACTTGTACTGTAGCAGGAAGGAGATGTCTGTGGCCCTCAGCTGCTCCTCTGTCTCTGTGATGGTTTTGGACACAGTCTCCATCTGTCTGCTCACGGTGGCCATCTTGTCCTTCATGTTGTGAGTCTTCTGCTCCTCCTCCTCCCTCAGAGCCTTCATCCTGGACTGTTCTTCCTCCAACAGAAACTGGTGCAGTTTCTCAAACTGGTGTCGGATCTGTGCCTCTGTTTGTCGAGCCTGGGCTGTGATATGAGCCGCGGCGTCTTCAAACTGCTCTTTCCTCCCAGTCAGAACCTGCACAGAAAGAGTCCGAGTGAATCAGACAGAAGCAGCCCTCTGGTCTGTGGGGCCCTGACACATTAGTGTGATGAATGTGAGTGAACACAGTTGAGCCTCTGATCAGCAGTAAGTCTGCTCTGACAGTGGTCTGTGTGAGCTGCTCCTCACACGCTTCTAAAGGCTCTAATAACACCAGGAGGTGTCTGGGGAGAGGGAGGCTCCACATGGAGGCACGATGGCAGAGTGGTTAGCACTCTCTCCTCTTAACAAGAAGGTCCTGGAAGGTCCTTGCATGTATAATGACAAACAGAAACATGAACACAAACACAGTTCCAGAGGTGAAGAGTCTGTACCTGCAGTTTGTCCTGCAGAGGCTTGATGGACGTCCTCAGCTGCTCTCTCAGGTCCTCGGCCGCCTCCTCCATGGGACTAAACCTGTGGTCTTTGTGAGTCCTGGAGTCTCTGCAGACCAGGCACACCGGCTGCTGATGGTCCAGACAGAAGAGCCGGAGCTTCTCTGAGTGAACACTGCACAGAGGCTCTGAAGGAGTCAGTTTTCTCTGCTCTGAAGTGGTCTGCGGTCTCTGCTCTGAAATGATCTTCTGTCTGTGCTCCTCAAATGCTTGTGCCAGGTTGTTCAGGGCCTGGATGTTATTCAGCCTGGAAGCCAT